CATAATAGTGTACTTCCATGTTACAGAGTGTGTGCATGCATGTGTGTGTGAATCACCCAAACACAGAAAAGATCTACAGTAAGAACACACCAGCATTAGACTCCAGTAAACAAAAAAATTCTTTCAAATTTTTGATATTATATGTTAGAGCACTTGGTGCTACTTTAATCTATACTGTAGCCAATATACATGAGAAAAGAAAAGGTCTACGTTGTAACATTCCTTCCAATTGGTCATCAAATATTAAAAAGATATTGTGGGGGTGCCTTTGTGGCTCAGTCAGTTAAGTGTCTGACTTGCATTCAGGTCATAATCTCAGGATCCCAGGGTCAGTGGAACCCCCGGTCCACTGGGCTCTATGCTCAGCGGGGATTCTGTTTCTCCCTCTCCCTCTCCCCCCCGCTCACTTGTACGCACGTGCTCTCTCTCTCTTTCTCAAATAAATAAATAAATAAAATCTTTAAAAATATATATAGTAAAAGATTTCTCCTTTTGATAACTATTACCCTAAAGAAGAAATAATCTTTAAAATGTGAACGTCACCTGAATATTTGTTGCTCTATTAGGCACTGATTTTCAGTGTAAATTCAAATACCATACAATATAAGCACATTCATGTGCTTCTTACCTTGTCCCTATGACTTGATGTTAAAAACTAATAATCACTTCCACAGTTTTTAAAGTGCAAGGAGATACATTCGTTTTGACACACAGTGAAGAACTGTAAGCACCAGCAGGCAATGAGTCAATGCTGATGGCTCATCTCTCAGTGAAATTCATAAGCAACATGCCAGAGGTATGTTTCCTTTGCTAATGCCTTTAAATCATTTACTACAAACCGTGTACATGTATTTACACAGAGAGAATTTACAAAAGATTGGTCATCAAAGTACTGTAGGTACTTATTTCCAGATGTTGATATTTTAGGCAATTTTTACTTCCTTTCCTTGCCATAGGTATTTATATAGTAATATATAGTAATAATCCCTAGCCAAGCATTTGTCATTTGTGCAATTTTATACACTAACAATAATATTTTTTTTCATATCCTCAGTTTGTCCATACTTGCAACATTTTCCTATCAGTTTTGACTCTAAAGGGGCTTAAAAATAAAGCAAAGCAGCACAAACTATCCACAGCTTTATTATGTCAGAAGCTCTAATTAAATAAATCTCTTTGCTGAATTAGCTTCATTATTTTAAAATAGAGCCTGTGCCCATAAAGTCCACTTCTGTTTTTCATTAACCAATACTGCATTGACTATGGGAACTGAACAGAACATTGTATTCAAAATGGAGCCACAAGTTATGTTGTTATGTTTTTTAATTGCAGTAATCTGATTTTTAAATTTATATCCTCTATAATTATGGCTAAGTATTCTCAGTAATATGACATAGAAGTTAATTGTAGGAAACTTTGTTCCCTTAATGTTTTTCAAATAATATAATTTTACTCTGCCATCATCCCCAATGCCCCTTCACCCTTAGAGAAATTCTATCATGTCTCATTTTATGATTTTCAGGTCTCTCTAATGTACATTTTATTTATAAATCACCAAGTTTTAATAACTATTCTGGTATGTGTTTAGAAAGAAGTGCAGCATGAACCATTTTTAATAATACATAGACAGAAAAATGTAATAAATGTAATATGCACTAGCATCTCTAGCCAGTGGTCTTCAATCATCTTGATTGTGCAACATCATCAATAAAACTGTTGAACATAATTTCATTAACTCAACAACATTCACTGACCCACGAAGTCCTACACTAAGTATGAGAGCTACAGAGGCAAATGGAACATGGTCCTTGCCTTCCATAAGCATATAGAGAGAACAGAGAAGTAAATAGTAAAATCAAGGGCAATGAGTTAAGTGTTGGGACAGAAGTATGCAGGGGAGGTTCAGAGAATCCCCAGAGGCCACTCCTAACTCATAAATTAGGCTATAATCATGATGTCAGGTAAGAATTTCAGATAAGGTATTATACAAGAAATTGTTACCCTGAAGGTCCGGAAGTCCTGAGGCAAGTTAAAAAGGAGTAGGGAGTGAGGAACAAGAATGGAAAACAGAGATCAAGAAGACAGAGCAGAATATCCCAAGGGCCAGAGATAATGGAGAGCAGAATATGTATAAGTGGCTTCAGGTAGGTCAGAATGGCTGGATGGCAGGTTGGTGAGGTAAAATAAGCACAAGTCAGATTATAAAGGACCTTCATCTATTCAGTTTTTCACTCGCTCATTTAATAAATAAGAACTGAGCATCGAATTTGTGCCAGGTTCTGAGAATTCAGATAACAAGCTATGCCCTCATGGGATAGCCACTGCAAACCCCATGGAATATACAGAAAACATAACAAACAAGTAAACTATGTACAATATACAAAAGAGATAAAAGCAATGGAAAAAAGTTAAAAGGGAAAAGAAAAAAGAAAAAAGTATTTGAAGGAGTCTTGTGAGGAGAATACAATTTTAAACAGGATATTTAGGTAAAGCTTCACTGAAAATACAATTTTGAGTAAGATCTGAGGAAGTGTGCCTTATGTTATCTGATGGAAGAGAATTCCAGACAGAGGGAACAGCAGGTAAGAAGGCCCTGAGCCAGGATTGTGGCTGGTATATTCCAGAAACAGAGAAGAGGCCAATGTGGCTGGAGCAAAATGGGTGGTGGATGAAGAGGAGGAGGTGAAGTTACAGAGAAACAGGAATTCTCACAGCCATGGTAAGCAGTACAGCATTTCAAGCACAGCTGTGTAAATATCTGACTTAGACTTTAAAGGAATACTGTCTGCTATATTAAGAATAAACCAAAGGGGAGCAAAGGCAGAATTAGCAGGACTAATTAGAATGGCTACTGCAGTACCCAGGTGACAGAAGGTGGCTTGTGCCAGGATGGCAGCACTGAGAAGTGGTTGTATGCTGGATGTATTTTCAAAGTAGAAATGACAGAATTTTCTAAGGGGTTTTTGCATATGCTGCAGAGTGTGAGACCAAAAGAGAAGTTAAGAATAACTCTAAAGCATTTGGCCTGAGCAACTGTTAGGTTGGAATTTGGTTCAGCTGAAATGTGGAAAGCTGAGAGTAGAGCAGGGTTGGGGGAAGGACAGAGTTGTCACATGTTGAGATGTGGAAGAGCACAGAAGAAGCAGACCAGAACATGGCAAGTTTGAAATGCCTATTAAACATCCAAGTAGAAAGGATGAATATGCAGTTCAAATGGGGGAAATGGGAAGGTGCTGGCTTCCTGTAGTCAGTGATTTAAACAGGGATGAAAGGCATAAAAAGATTAGAGCTGGGGTGCCTGGGTGGCTTACTTGGTTAAGCAGCTGACTCTTGGTTTTGGCTCAGGTCATGATCTCGGGGTCCTGGGATCCCCACATCTGGCTCCACACTCAGCAAGGAGTCTGCTGGAGATTCTCTCTCTCCCTCTCCCTCTGCCCCTCCTGCTGCTTGTGCTCTCTCTCTCTCTCAAATAAGTATATAAATAAATCTTTAAAAAAAAAAAAAGATAAGTGCTGAAGGCCTCAAAGCAAAGGGCAAATATGAAAAAATTTCTGCTTCTCTGTATGTAAGGTAGGAATAATATGATTAAGTGTATGCTGAAGGAAATAACATAAATAAAACAACTAGTCCAATGCCAGAAAATAGCAAGAATTTCAAAATATACAACCTTTCACAGGCTGAAAATTCCCTAAGGGTAGTGAGTGTTCCTTTTCTTAGTTATACCTTGACTCATAGCAATATAAATACATGCTAAGTATTCAATAAAGATATAGCAAAATAGACATAATTATATTTCATTAAATGAATTAAAATTTTATAAAGAATTATCACATAAATTATTACATGATAAAGTTTCACTTGATAATCTTTAACCCTTTAATAAATAGAGAATAATTTTCTGTCTAAACAAGCTGAGGAGTAACCAATTCATTTAAATGCATATTATACTATCACTCTCCATTTTACTTTGATCTTTTTTATTTCTTAATTTTCTTAGAGCAACTCCACATGCAAAAATAACTACAAAAGTTAGCCATCAAATTTGTCTTGTACTTTGAAAATTATTTTAAATTTAGTAGGCTAGACAGGAACCCAAAATGGTGATGAATTAGAAATTATTACATAGCCAGTTCCCTTACCTACTACTTCCACCAAAGGATAGATCCTAAAAGGGTAAATGTATAAATGAACAGAAATGTAATTTAATAAAAGCAACATGATAATGAATGTAAAAATAGGTTAAAATAAGTCAGTAAGTCATTTAACTCAAATAAGATAAAGAGCTACACAAGCTAAATCTGAAACTTAAGATAGTCATGCATCCCAATAAATGCTGGAGTGTTTCAAGAGTTATAACTAGATTTTTGTTGTTGTTGTCATTGTTTTGTTTTAGGTTTTGATTTTTGGTTATTTTTAGATTCCATATATCATTTTCTAACTTATTTCACTTAGCATAATGCCCTCAAGGAATCTTTAAAAAAAAAAAGGTAACATCCAGTGAAACTGGAAATACTTATAAAGCTGGTATACAAAAGAGTATACCTTTTTGGTGTATATGTAAATCAAGAACAGAAAGTTATGTGGGTCTTTAGAGAGATTAACCCATATTAAACAATTACTTAGAGTACTTTGGTTAGCAATAAAAATGATATGGGTTGGTGTCCAGTATTAGCATTAGATAAGTAGATAAGAAAAGAAGAAATGTTTATTTTTTTACTAGAGTGCTATTTTTTTAAGCATATTTATTTATTTAAGCAATCTCTATACCCAGCATGGGGCTCAAACTCATGACCCTGAGATCAATACTTGCATGCTCTTCTGACTTACCCAGCCAGAAACCATAAGAAGAGATGTTTAAAAAAAGAACTTACAAGGATTATGTTCATTTATTAACTGAAAGCCAGATCAATTTAATTGTGACAAACCCCTAAAACATCCTTAAGAAAGTGAATTCCATAGACCATCCTTTAAAATTATAATACAAAGGGAAGGAGTCAAGATGGTGGAGAAGTAGGAGAACCCTGGGCTTTCCTCCTCCCTTGAACACAGCTGTATTGAGGTCAGATCACTTGGAACACCCAGGAAATCCATCTGGGAACTGGGAGAAGTTGGTCACAGTTGGAGACACAACTGGTCACAGTTGGAGGGAGACAGCATGCCAGGTGCCAGGTGCGTGGAAGTGAATTGGATGAGAGAAAAACTGCAGTGCCACAAAGGGAAGGAACCCTTTCTTCAGAGAGAGAAAAGGGGAAGAAAGAAAGAGGGATTGAGTGTGCAACCTTGAGTTTGCACAAGACGAAAACTTCTCTGGACCATGGATTGGGAGCGGGGGTACTGAGTGTCACAGTAGAGGGGGGGGTAGGTCCCCACAATGCCAGGTCCTTTAAGATTTGGAGTCTTGAATCCCAGCTGTGAACCAAAGATAAAATGCAGGGGAGCTGTAGGACCAGGCACAGACCTCACTATTCTGTGAGGGCTTCCTAAACAGCAGGGAGTGTGGGATCCCCTGTCTGGGATGAGAGAATGTCGTGGAACCATTTTCCCCATCGCCACCAACATGTGGAACTTCAGAGAGCAACACAGTGGCCCCCAGTGGAGGCGGGATGTGCTTACACCAAACCCTGCCCCCCTGTGCCTGGCAAGTGCATATTTCCTGGGATAGGACTGACTCTGAGCCAGTGCAGCAGGCGTCTCCCCCAGAATAACACTCACCACAGGCAGCACCCGACATGCACCAAGTTTACTGATCACTCTGCAGTTTCTGCTGGAAATAGGACCAGGCTTTGTTGTTGTTTTTTCCCCCTTTGGAATCAGGCTTATAGTTTTTTGTTTGTTTGTTTGTTGATTTTTCATTTCCTTTTCTCTTTTTTTTTTTTTTTTGGTTAGGCATTGTTTTTCTTTTTTTCTTTTTTCCAGACTTATGTTAACAAGCAAATCAAAGCACATCTATTTAAAGGTCCAATCACTCCCCACTGCAAGCAAGGAGGAACTCTGTAGAGGACTGACCAATGGTAAAGAGCAGACAAACTGCAATAGCAGAGTGCACATGCACATGCATACACCAGAAACACTTCCTGAAGTGCCAGGCCCTGGAGAGTGTATGACCCCTTTTTAATGTAGCATTACTCTCAGGTGCAGGACACATAACAAGCTTTCAAAACACACAAAAGACAGAAACTTAGACCAAATGACAAGATGGAGGAATTTTCCCCAAAAGAAAGGTCAAGAAGAAATCATAGCCAGGTACTTCCTAAAAACAGATATACACAATATATCTGAACAAGAATTTAGACCAACAGTCATAAACTACTAGCTGGGCTTGAAAAAAAAGCATAGAGGATACCAGAGAAATCCTTGATGCAGAGATAATAGACCTAAAAACTAGTCAGGCTGAAATAAAAAGTGCTATTAACTGAAATGCAGAACCGACTGGATATAATCACAATGAGGATGGAAGAAGCAGTGGAGAGAATAGGTGATACAGAAGATAAAACTATGGAAAATAATGAAGCTGAAAAGAAGAAGGAAAGAAAACTACTAGATCATGAAGGTAGATTTAGGGAACTCAGAGATTCCATTAAGTAAAATATTATCCATATCACAGGAGCCCCAGAAGAAGAGCAGAAAAAGGGGGCAGAAGATCTACTTGAACAAATTTTACCTGAGAATTTCCCAAATCTGGGGAAGGAAACAGGCATTCAAATCCAAGACGAACAGAGAACTCTCCTCAAAATAACAAAAACAGGTCAACACTGCAACATATCATCGTGAAACTTGCAAAATACAAAGATAAAGAGAGAATTCTGAAAGCAGCTAGGGACAAAGGTCCTTATCCTACAAGAGAAGACACATAAGGTTAGCAGTAGACCTTGCAGGCCAGAATACTTCATCCAGCAAGGCCGTCATTCAGAATAGCAGGAGAGATAAAGAGTTTCCAAGACAAGGTTTTTGAAAGATGGAGGAGGAGTAGGGGACCCTATTTCAACTGGTCCCCGGAATTGAGCTGGATATCTACAAGACCACTCTGGGCACCCACGAAACCAGCCTGAGATGTAAGAAGATCTGGACCTCTACAAATGGAATATCGCAGGCAGCTGATTTTGACGTCCGAAAGAGGGAGCCGTGATTCCCCCGGCAGATATCGGAGGACAAACGGCAGCAGGGGGGTGTCTGACCATGGGGATCCTACACCACCGGTGAGTGACAGCCTCGCATGCTGCAGACGGGGCACAGACTCGTAGACCGGTAGCAGCAGGGAAAGGACCTCAGGGCAGCCCTCCAGGGCGGGAACCCGCAGCAACAGGGTCGCACCTGAACTGCTGCTCACCCGGACGGAAACCTGGAGCAGCGGGGTCGTGCATGCGAACTGGGAGCGGCTGGCAGTTTTAGAAGCACAAAGGGCAGAGAGGTGCCCAGACCTGGGGGCAGGACTGGGAGCACTGCAGAGGGGCACACAACCCAGGACGCTGTAGTTAATAGCAGCACGGACAGAAACGGAGACAGTGTGGCCTGAGAGCTCACTGAAGAATACATTGCGATCTCTCTGCTCTGAGGCAGAGGGTTGGAAATGGTCTCTTCTGCTCTGACTCACGGAAGAGATGCAGAAAGCTGCCAGAGAAAGAAGCCAGAGAACAAAAGCCCCCAAAACTGATTCCCACTGAGCCCATCCCCCACCACAGGGGCACAGGGCAACTCTGCCCAAACACAGTTGCCTGAGTAACAGCACAGCAGGCCCCTCCCGCAGAAGACAGGCAGGGAAAACAAGAGGCCAGCAACCCTAAGGTCACAAGAAAACAGGTGCATCTTGCTTGGGTTCTGGTCAATAATTTCGACTCTATACATTCCCTCAAACACCCATCAACAGAATGACTAGGAGGAGGAGCCCCCAAAATAGAAAAGACTCAGAGATTATGACTTATGCTGCAGATTTACAAATGGATGCAGATATAACCAAGAAGTCGGAGATGGAATTCAGGCTAGCAATTGTGAAGACAATGGCTAGAATGGAGAAATCAATTAATGGCAACATAGAGTCTCTAAGGGCAGAAATAAAAGGGGAATTGGCAGAACTTAAAAATGCTATCAATGAGATCCAATCCAATCTAGATAATCTAACAGCTAGGGTAACTGAGACAGAAGAGAGAATAAGCGACCTAGAAGACAATATAATAGATAAAAAGGGAAAAGAGGAGGCCAGGGAAAAACAACTCAGAATCCATGAAAATAGAATCAGAGAAATAAGTGACACCATGAAGCATTCCAATGTCAGAATAATTGGAATTCCGGAGGGAGTGGAGAGAGAGAGAGGACTAGAAGATGTATTTGAGCAAATCGTAGCTGAGAACTTCCCTAATCTAGGGAATGAAACAAACATTCGCATCCTAGAGGAAGAGAGGACCCCTCCTAAGATCAAGGAAAACAGGCCAACACCCTGGCATGTAATACTAAAACTTGCAAATCTTAGAACCAAGGAAACCATCTTAAGGGCAGTTAGGGGGAAGAGATTCCTTACGTACAGAGGGAGGAACATCAGAATAACGTCAGACCTATCCACAGAGACCTGGCAAGCCAGAAAGGCCTGGCAAGACATATTCAGGGTACTAAATGAGAAGAACATGCAGCCAAGAATACTTTATCCGGCAAGGCTTTCATTTAGAATGGATGGAGAGATGCAGAACTTCCACGACTGGCAGAGACTGAAAGAATATGTGACCACTAAGCCGGCCCTGCAAGAAATATTAAGGGGGGTTCTATAAAAGGAGAAAGACCCCAAGAGTGATATAAAACAGAAATTTACAGGAACAATCTATAAAAACAACGTCTTCACAGGCAACATGATGACAATTAATTCATATCTTTCAATAATCACTCTCAACGTGAACGGCCTAAACACTCCCATAAAACGGCACAGGGTTGCAGATTGGATAAAAAAGACAGGACCCATCCATATGTTGTCTACAAGAGACTCATTTTGAACCTAAAGATATATCCAGACTGAAGTGAAGGGATGGAGATCCATCTTCCATGCCAGCGGACCTCAAAAGAAAGCTGGGGTAGCAATTCTTATATCAGACAAATTAGATTTTAAACTAAAGTCTGTAATAAGAGACACAGAAGGGCACTATATCATTCTTAAAGGGTCTACCCAATAAGAAGATCTAACAATTGTAAATATCTATGCCCCCAACATGGGAGCAGGCATCTATATAAGCCAACTGTTAACCAAAATAAAGAGTCATATTAATAAAAATACGTTGATCATAGGAGATCTCAATACTCCACTCTCAGCAATGGACAGATCATCTAAGCAGAAAATCAAAAAGAAAACAAGAGCTTTGAATGATACATTGGACCAGATGGACCTCATAGATATTTACAGAACATTCCACCCTAAAACAACAGAATACTCATTCTTCTCGAGTGCACATGGGACTTTCTCCAGAATAGACCATATACTGGGTCACAAATCAGGTCTCAACCGATACCAAAAGATTGAGATTATTCCCTGCATATTCTCAGACCACAATGCTCTAAAACTGGAACTCAATCACAAGAAAAAATTTGGAAGAAATTCAAACACTTGGAAGCTAAAGACCACTCTGCTCAAGAATGTTTGGGTCAACCAAGAAATCAAAGAACTTAAACAATTCATGGAAATCAATGAGAACAAAACACATTGGTCCAAAACCTACGGGATACTGCAAAGGTGGTCCTAAGGGGGAAATACATAGCCATCCAAGCCTCACTCAAAAAAATAGAAAAATCCTGAATTCACCAACTAACTCTACACCTTAAAGAACTAGAGAAAAAGCAACAAATGACACCTAAGCCACACATTAGAAGAGAAATCATTAAAATTAGAACAGAAATCAATGAATTAGAAACCAGAAACACAGTAGATCAGATCAACGAAACTAGAAGTTGGTTCTTTGAAAGAATTAATAAGATTGATAAACCACTGGCCAGACTTTTCCAAAAGAAAAGAGAAAGGACCCAAATTAATAAAATTATGAATGAAAGGGGACAGATCACGACTAACACCAACGAAATAGAAACAGTTATTAGAAATTATTATCAACAACTATATGCCAATAAACTGAGCAATCTGGATGAAATGGAGGCCTTCCTGGAAACCTATAAGCTGCCAAGACTGAAACAGGAAGAAATTGACCTGAATAGGCCAATAACCAGTAATGAGATTGAAGCAGTGATCAAAAACCTCCCAAAAAA